CATCATCCACTGCCATACCAGTTACGAACTGTGCAGAGGACAGTGCTTGGCCTTAGAGCGAATGTGCGATACAATGATTAGAAGCGATACGGACAGCTTTTTGATGAGTAGTAAAGATTTTCATGTAACTTTTGATGTACTCCGTCGCACAAGCTGCTGGAATCCGGAAGTCATGAGGTCGGAACTCAGCAGCGGACCGAGAACCGCGCAACACTGACGAAATGCTGGTCGAAACAGCTTCTAGTGCTTATCCAGATGTGTAGGAACCAGCGTGACTGAGAGGGGGCTGCGACGAACTACATCTAGAATCACGCCAAAATCTCTACTATACATCAGTAATTCTGTATATGACGCGGTCGAAACCAGCTGAAGATCTGTGTACATTATTAGACTCCGATGCTTAATACCTAACAGAGTAGTTCCATTCATCCAGTGTAGAGCGGATTACTTTCCAGTTACCGCCTTGTGTACATCTGGTACGCATGATTCCCCAAATAGACATGAATGTTTTGCTCTGCTTGTTGAAGGAGTGTGAGCCGATTGGGTTGATGAAACATGGCTCCCATCCACATTCATCCCGGTCTTATTCCTTCGGGTTTACACTGGATATGGGGTGTGTGGATGGAGCTGTGGGCGGTGCAGCGCAAGCCACCTATGGTCTCACTGTAGGCGCAGACGTCCTGTGGCTGTCCTATAGAGGCCACAGTGACAGGCACCTCCGCAACGGGATTCTGCCGCCCATGTTGCTCGCCTGCGACGACGGCCAGCCGCAGGTGGACGTTCGCGGGTGCTATCTGACTTGAAGCGGGCGGTTGCAAATCATTGGGCACCAAGCTGTGCCGTCCCACTGTCAGAGACAGTGCGTAGCTATCGTGCTCTACGCTAATCGAGCTATGAGCTTCTGACCCCTTAAACCCGTTTTCTTCCGTTGCCAGGGTTTTAGGGAACCGGGGCATTGACTTCCCCCTAATTTCTATGAAGTACTTGCTTTTGAGACTGAATTATTCTGATCTGTTAGCACTGACCTGTCTGGTATGAGCCGCTCTGAAGGCATTTGGAAAGTGCCACCCAGCGTAGCTCAGTGAGTCAAAGAGTTACGCAAACCATTACACCACGTTAAAGTCCAATTTCGTCGCGATGGCTAACCTTTGATATCTAACAGCTGCTTTGTTTAGGGACACAAAAAGTAACCGAACACCGCGTGCACTGGTCCCGATTGAAGATGCATTGCATCGATTGTTCCTTAGGAAATCTGCAATCAGCAGAAATCATATAAGGTATTTAGAAAATAAGCTTCTGAATTTTTGCACAACTAGTGACTTCTTCCCGAACCGCCATAATAACTTCAGGGATGCACGATCATTCCGAATGGTCTGTTGCCTCACACGAATCATACTTTTTGAACAAGTAGGCGGTTTGGATGTCACACGCATGTAAGAATGCATTACTGTGCTCTATTTTTTCAGAAATGCTATCAGTGTAATTAAGCGTGCGGGTGACCCCGTGAACCACCTCAGCTTACGCCACTGTAAATCACCTTGAGTTTTCTTGGATTAATGCCATTTTTACTATTTATTTGATAAGTTTGACTTTAATTATGTCAACTGAGGACTCAAAATGCCAATTAATCAATTTAGTGTCACTAGTTTACTCCGTCCCATCATGTCAACGGTTTTACGCAAGTCTAGAAAAACCAAGATAATTGTTTTTCACGTATATTACGTCCCTTCGCGTTGTTGAGTAGTCTTTTTGTCAAGTCGCTCAGTGCAACCTGTGATGCAGCCCACTGTGTTTGCTGACAAAAGGTGCCAAACAATACTTCCTTTACAAGGGAAATGTGATGAATTTCTACGTATACAATTCTTACTTTCACTACGCTCTCAATTAGCCTGGAGACAACAGCCGTGTTATTTATAGGGCGATAGTTTTTTAATATTGTGCTTGTCACCACCTTTGTGGCATGGCATGCTTATCACAGTCTTTCACTTCCTGATAGAATACCTGGGTTTAGGAGGCGGGGGAAATTGCAAACATGTTGTGTAACACAATCCACTTACCTGGGTTACCGTTTTCTATCAACACCTGAGGCAATTCATCCGGGTCCTGCAAGTAAGAAGACTTTAGCTTCACGATCAGACCTTCAATCATTCTCACACCAAGGCCCACATCATGGATACCGGTATGTGTTTGTGACGAATAATGCTCTCGTAACTAATAGATTTGTGATGTATGGGCTGAATGCGTTGCATATATGTCGACAAGTCCATCAAGGTATTTATTATCAGCATCCTTACTTATTGGATGACAGTGTTTATGCTGCCACTTCTCACGACATATCTAGAAAGACTACTGGAGTATTTTGTTTGTCAATTAAGATACGCAGTCTGGAGTCTGATCCCTTACATACTGGCGGATTGTTGCATCAAAAACACGAAACTTGGTGTGCGTGGATTGGACTGCGCCTCCGATTATTGCACTTTTCACCTGCAACGTAGTGGCCACCTCGATGCACTGGTTTAGCCTATCGTAAAGCATGTCTGACTCTTGCTGTGAACACGAACCGAAAGACTCCATTGTAGCCCGTAGAATGTACCAGAACGGATTGCATTGACTGATCGAATCGAACCAGCAAAGACTTGTGGTACGTCGCGGGTGTTTCGTTTTCAGTTGCGGCAACATGTGATTAGTGGTTGCTTCCTGGCAAATAGCCCGATACATTAGGCTAAAACGTAAGAATCCCCCGCGCGAATAGTAGCTTTAGGGTACTTTTATTCCTAATGGAAAACTGCACTTCTTGCTGGACATCAAAACATAAGCAGGACACGAACTCCTAAAATCCATCCGATACAGCATCTTTCATCCAAATTATCTGGGGTGCACTCATAACTATGGATTTTTTGATGTGAATAATTGGGGAAGGAGGTTTCTTCTACTCCTAATTACATCAAATATCCGTCCTAATTGCTTCCAATTACTATGTCCTGCATGCCTGTCTTTCGGGGCCAAACCTGTCCTCTTTCAACCTTCGTACCTTGCATGGCAATGGAGGATGAGACGCGCTGTATCGCAGTTACCTTGTAAATCATGACACTCCACCGATTTTCGGCTCGTACTCGGTGATACCGTCCGCTGAATACTCTCAAGCACTTCTGTCTCTGTTAGTGGAAAAGATTATGCATTATGGTTGCGTACTTTGTACTCCGACCTTGATGTTGCTCCAGTGCAGTGAGGTCGTTGGCTACCAGTCTTGAATCCCGCACTGGACATGGGGACGAACGTAAGCACTGGGCATATGCCGGAAAATTAAAGTGTCTGTGTGTCCGAACGCCCGTCTCAACAGGCTGGCGTGTTGGTTACCAGCCTTTGATACCTTTTCGGATTTCTTGGAACAGCCTATCGTTCGGAACCAGTACGCCTAGGTCACCTTCGACGGAAGACCACTGCAGTGAGTGCTTTCCTATCTGTAAGAGTTGGTGCTCTGGTGTATTATGGAAAGTACCGGACTAAATGTCAGCAAACCGTGTGATATCACTAATGTGTACCAAAAGCAACACTCGTGGTTCTAGAACTCGGCTTATGCGGGGTCTGATAAAGAATTCCGAACCCTAGCCACTAATTGCCGTTGGAGAATAAAGTTGTCTATTCAACTTGAAGAAGATCACTGACTTCATGATAAGGAAAATCCAATGACCCAAACAATCGAATTCTTTCTTAAAATCCAGGTTTATAACATCATCGTCCTCTCTTGCGTCTGCTGACTGCTGATAATTTATACATTTACCAACATCCGTCACGGACAACCATCCATTTTCGCATTCTGCTGCGTACGCAAGAAACTGTTCTGAGCTCGTTACAAACCTTCGTTTCTGGAGCATCTTTGATCAACCTATTGATTTTGTTGATGAATTCTAACCAGGCAAACTCCGGAGGTTCTTCAGAGAGGAACGACCAGGTTGTGGCACTAACAGACTGGACTAAGAAGTCGGAGTGTTTACTGGTGCGTACCACTTCAGGGTTCTCATTTGGATATTCCGCATTGCAGATGAAGTCGAAACTTCGTAACTACATGACAACTGCGGCCCAAAGGACAATCTACAAATAATACATCAATCATATCTTCGTTGGTAGGCACAAGATCCAACACAAATGGCCTGTTACCTGTTCTGAACCGAGTGGGCAAAATGATGTGATTGTAAAAGGGAACACTAGTTTCGAGCTCCTGCAGATCTGCTTTAATTTGTTCTCCGATCATGACAGAGGTTTTTCAACAATGTTTCTCGAAGTCGCTCACGTGTTTCTCACATTTGCCTAATGTGTAATGATGATGATGGTATTGATTTGGAGTTACTTGTGATCAGAATAGTCCCAGGATAACCTGAAGACAACATTCTTCAGCTTTTTTAATATGGGAATGACGACTGATTACTGCCATTCGGATGGTACTAGCGCAAGATAGAGCTGAAGGGAGCCATGATGATACAACTGGCTTTGCCTTTTGTGTTGTTATTTATTCACTAGTATGAGCACAGTCTAATGCATCAGCTGAACGATAACGGAACTCAAAAGAAAATGGCCTGTTCAGCAAGACGTTAGAAGTACGAAAGAAAGCGATCCTTTCTTGACGTTCTACAAGCATTGCCACCTTTTGTCGTTTTATCCTTTAAAATTGTACGGTATCGATGGATTAATTTCGATCACTGGGACAGCCCTGGAATTATTACCTTCCGCGGTGTTGACAGCTTCCAACACTCATTCCTGAGCGGGCAACATCGAAGAAGCCCTCCACTCTCGACTGAATTTATCAACCTACCAACTGTGCTTGTGCATCTTAACATTATTCATCATTGCTGATAATCTTGTGCTTAATGTTTTTTTCGCAGCGTCCTGCTGATTTGACCATGTCAAAGTGATTGTGCGCCACATATTTCTTTAGTTTAGTTACTTGCCTGTCGTTTCCTTTTTGCTTTCCATCTTTCATGCGCTTTCCTCCCATCTTTCAGCTTTTCCGTGACGCAATCGACCCAAGTGGTTGTCTGCAACTTTTGGAGGACATTCCTTCAACATCACGCTTTGCACAAACTCACAGCTATCCCTTGAAAGCTATCCCATCTTCTATGCTGCCTCCAGATCGGCAGCCTCAACATACGAATGAGACCGCGAAGCGGTTAGAGTTTGAATTGAAAACTCTTTTGCAATCCCTGGCTGTATCCCTCTTCGGGTCTTGTAAGTTACCATTTCTACTGCTTATCTCCCCCACCCTGTATTCGGGACCACATGTTAGCGCCCGCCATTAGTCTAGCAAAAGGCCAATTCACGAAGCGGGCGTTAGAGTTATACCAAGTGCGCGTACGCCTTTACTTGCTGTGTGTTGGAATTACTTTTAACGACTAACTTTACCAACGCTGACTACTTCAGCCTAGTAGTGTTGAATTCTCAGTCCAGCATATATCCACTGTTTCTGTTACCTATTTCTGAAGTGTGTCTGTCTAGATGAGGGGATATTCTAGTGCATTCGTTCACATGGAGACAGATTCTTCCTACATACTTGCAGATGGTTACACAACTTCGCGAACCATAGCTGTTGGTGGCGCGGTTGGTCTACCTTCTAGTTCAATGCGGTTCATTGTTTGTTTCATTCCACTCGGATTTCATTAAAACTGACGTTGCTGATTCAAACATGAGCGATCATCCAAGAAACAAACGGTCGAAATTTCAATGGCAATTACTTTGGAAGACTTATCAGATGGAAATCATCATCAACAGCAGTACCTCAGTCATTTGAACTGATGCTTCGATTCCTTACCACTATGCAGGCCTACAGAACGTATAATAAGAATGAGAGCTTAAAACCTTAATGCTAGAAACAAACATTCAGGGTCAAGGTGCCTACACCTTGTGTAGACAACATACTGTCACAAACAGTTGGCGATCATACAAGCCTTACCATCGACGAAACAGCTTCCTTGCGGCTTTCACTGCCCAGCGTCATAATCAACCATTTCCCCTCAGATAACTTAGCACCAAACACTAGTAAACAGCCAGTCCAACTAGGTGACGACAGCAGACACGCCTCTGGTGCCGACTGCGAGCTACGTCCCGTAACGTCTCGAGTCAAGCACAAGTCGAGTCACGTGGACTCCAGCCCGGAAGGCGAGCCGGACCAACGGCACCAAGTTTGGTCGTCAGTGCCTTCATTTCCCACTGCCAAGTCAACTTCTGTCCACCTCGAGTCTTGCGCCAGCCTATATCTGGCAGACTAAACAAGGCCCTTCTCGGTAAGCGGTGACTAGGAATACGTAGTAGGTGTCCAAGCCAGCTCAACTTATTCAGTGCTATCTGTTGTTCTAAAGAACTAGCCTGATTATAACTCTCCGGTACTTGCATAGGCACATCATTGCGGACACGCTGATGCCATCCGACACCAACAATGCTTTGTTGACAACGATAATCAAAGACTTGAAGGCGCCACAGGTCCTCAGATCGGAGGGGCCAAGTCTCACTTCCATAGTGTAGGACGGTCCTCACCGTGACCTTGCAGACAAAACCTTTCAAATTTATCGGAATACTTTTCTAATGCCACCGATGTCTCAAATTCAAGAACCCCATTATTAGCTTTTACAATACGTGAACTGACTTCAGTGGTTCTGTGCTCATGGTTGCTGATGCAGCTGCCAACGTAAATGAGTTGTTCAATACCTCAAGTACATCGCTATCAATGGTCAAAGGGGTTATCAAGTAGCATGTGGTCCTGCAACAGAACTTAGCACTTTGAGGTTGCAAAGCGCATGCTAAATGATGTGACCATCATAGAGATTGGGCCTCCACAACATTGTTAAAAAACAAGACAATTTCGTCCACATAATCAACATCAACTATAGCTTTTCATCAGGCAGTACCTCAGCCCCTGCATCGGGAGATTCCGCGAACAGACAGTCCATGATGGTGTGCACGACGAATTTGAACAAGAATTCGGAAAATGCACAACCCTGACGAACGCCACTTGTTGTCGGAAAGATATCTTGTAAGTCCTCCTAAAGGCTAACACAGCCTGTGGTGTTCGGGCATACAGCACGTAAAATGTTCACCTATTTCGTGGGAACACCTTTCCGGCAGACCGTCTACGCGTAAAATTGGGATCCTGCACTGATCTTTGCCGAGTTTGTTTGCGTACATGTGAAGCACTAAATTTTGTTGTGCTTGTGTTTCTTTTCATTGCCCAATTTTGTGCATTGGCTTCGTTGAGTTGGATAGACTTCACAGGCCTGATTACACGAACAGGCTTTATATACGCGCCTGGAGTAATGCAATAAGGCCATGCATTTTCGAATCCGGCTCCTCATGAAGCAATTTGTTCGCTTCGGACAAAAGACTGGGTTTTCCCACGCGTTTGCTACAAGCCTTTGGATTGGGTGACCAACCCTCTAATATACATCAGGAGTGTACCCGATCATGCGAGTTTAGTTGCTTGCTTGGAAGAGGAAGGTCAGACATGATGTCGTAATGGGTGGATCCATCGTTGTTTCCACTGATGAATTCCGCGTAGCATGTGTAGCGGAAGTGCATCGTCGTATGATTACTGCTACCAAGCAGTGCCCCTACTCTTCCAGTGTCGACCATTTGTTCCTCGTTGGTTAGCACGTGGTCTAAAACAGCTAGTTCGTCATCGATTCGGAATCGAGTAGGAGAAGTTTTATTAAGGCGCTTAGTACGCCCTGAATTTTTGCTGATTGAAGCTAGTACTTTAACTTCATGACTGTATCATCTTGACAGGACACGCTTCATAGCAGAAGCTAGACGGTGATCCGTTTCCAAGGTAGACATTGGAGAGCGGCAAACTATTTCTAATAAACACACGTCACCCTTCAGGAGCAAACGACACCCAAGAGCGTTGACTACTTGCGTATCTGGATGGTTGATCATATGAACATACAGTTCCGATCGGTAATACGCGAGCACTCCGCCTCCTCTGTTGGCTCGATCTTTCCTTAGGAGAACCGTGCTGGGCATAGCTATCTCAGCATCAATGATCTCAGTATTCATGCATATTTCGGTTCCCATGACGACGTCCCTTGGCGTTAAAACTTGACGAATACGAAACTCAGGCAACTTACTGAGATGACCCTGTGTTTGGTATACAAGCAGGTGTAGGCTTTAAAGGTTTGAAGCCTGTTTGTGGATGCATATTTCTGGTGAGAAGTTATACCGATCCTTGTGTGGTCGGCTGCCAGTTGTTCTTTTGTTGATTCGCTGTCAAATGCCTTGGGGTCATTCCGGGTGGGTTTGCAGAGTGCTCAATGTCAGCAGGTGGCTGATTATGTAGCTCTCCTTCAACTGTCGGTGTGCTATAACAAGGTCCCGGTCCTGGGCTGTACGCTGGTGGAGTCGCACACTAGGTCTGGTTGTTTAGTATTACCTTGTCTGTTTGTGGCCGGGTGTCCATCGCCTTTATATGTATTTCGGATGACAGCATTTTGTACATTTTATGCCACAGTTCGAACGCCTTTTCCTGTGATAATGGTAACCTTGATGTCGAAATGCTGATAACGTTTCTGCGTGAGAACATTTCACGGTTAAACCACCGTTCATCCCACTCATGTGCTTGGGCCTTTAGCTCGCTTGAATCACGAAGCACCATGGGCAAGGACCGATTTTAGGTCTTTTTGTCTACGGAAGTCGTCCGAGTTTTGTTTGCTTTTCTGACGTCCGCTCCAAGGAATATCTGGAAATATGCTTGCAGCTCAGTGGGTTATTCTGAGACCAATGTTTAATAGGAGAACGGCCTCTGCATCATCTCCTAACTGAAAAGTTAGAGTAATGGTGGTTCACTGTAATGTACTGAGTTTGAATGATGCACTGTGTGCATCATACTGGCTGGTTTTGCTTGGACCTCTGTTATTTCAGACATGGAGTCTCACCGTTTCTGATCCTGTAACGGTTTGTCTTTACACTAGTTTGCCTCAGCTTCAGGTGCATAACAGCATAAAAGTCAAGGAACTAAGCATTTTCTGATGTTATTATTTTTAATGGTGTGTGTGGCTGCTTTCTTCCGTGGAACAAAGGACGGCATCATAGGTGCTGTTGTAGTACTGGTAACATTACCTGTTCCTAATTTGATAGCGGTCGACGCTGCGATGGACAGGGCTTCTGGCATTTGAGTGGCAACTACGGAGGCGTATGTTTTCGGTCCTACAACATTATTAGATGTGTCGCTGGGCTTTGCTGAAGCATGCAATTCGAAGGCATCTTTAAGCGCAGCTCCTCGAACTAAAATTGACTCTCCAATCAGTCATTCACCGCTGTGTCAAGCGTTGCCCGCCATGACCCGGTAGCCAAGGGGGTACTGGTTTCGGCTACTATTCCAATGGTCGCGGATTCGAGGCCTGCTACCTCCACCTGATGAGATGAAATGACATCGAAACGAGTCATGGTTGTGCTGCTTGCTGGTCTCCATGAGAACCAAATGACTGAAAGCCAGGCTGCTTTTATCTTGGTCGTGGTTGTATCGACCACCTATTTGCTCTTCTTCATGCATTAGAACAGAGAAACGCCTACGACTTATGGCGCTGCCTATCCACGAAAGGCATGCTCCGGAAACACTTCCATTCTGAACTCACTTTACTGTGTCTCCCGAGGCCGGGTGAAAGCCTACGGAAATCTGTCTGCTGAGTTCCCCACAACAAGTGGGGTTCGCCAGGGTTGTTTTGAAGAAGCTCTTGCGTCAAGAGCGAAACCTTCTCACAATAAAAACCTACAAAACCGATTTGTACTCGAAAGCTTCTGAAATCATAAGATCCCAGTCGGTTCCAAGCGTATTCCGAGATATTGCATTTATCCTATGTCTCCTTTCCTCTTCAACTTTGTTATTGAATTGGTCATACATGTCTCGGTTTTTTCGGACTATTCTGAAGTGGAAGTTCTGCCAAGCGACCGACTGACAAACCCGGAGTATGCGGACGACATAGTTCTCCTTGGGTCTGATACAATGGCTATGCAAGCACTAATGCATGGACTTGTGCGCAGCGCTGCACGATTCAGCATGTGCTTTGCACCTTCAAAGTGCAAAGTACTGTTGCATGACTGGATCGATCCACCTCCAGTTCTATCTATCACCGAACAGCCACTGGAAGTGGTGGATTGGTTCACTTGGTAGCTGTGTCGCCTCTGGTGGTCACATCATCGAAAAGGTTACTTCGCGTATCAGCAAGGTCCGTGTGATTTTCCAG